ATAATCTTAGCCAGGCATGATGGGAACACCTGTAGTCCCAGTTATTCAGGAGACTGAGGCAGGAGGATTAACTGAGCCTGGGAGGTCCAAGCTGCAGTGAGCCATAATTGCACCACTGCACTCCAGCCTAGGCGACAGAATGAGACCCCGCTTCAACATAAACAAACAAGCAGTCTTCATCAGAAACATCAAAGAGGCGGGGCACGGTAGCTCACGCCTGTAATCCTATCACTTTGGAAAGCCAAGGCAGAAGACACTTGAGGCCAGGAATTTGAGACAACCTAGGCAACAAAGCAAGATCCAGTCTCTATTTTAAAAAATAAAAAGAAACATCAAACAATTGGAATGCATGTAAATCATCAAATAAGTAATTAGCTCTTCAAAATCATCACTAAATACTAAATTAAAATGTTTTTTAAAATGCAAATAAAGTCGAACTATGACCCAGCAATTACACACCTAGATATACCCAAGGGAAATGAAAACTTGTCCACACAAAAAACTGTATATGAATATTCACAGCAACTTTAGTCATAATACCTCAAAAGGAGAAACTCAAATACCCATCAATTGATTAACAGATTAATAAAATGTGGTCTATCCATACAATGGAATTTTATGGCAATAAAAAGGAACAAAGTACTGGTACCATGTTGTAACATGGATGAACCTTTTTATTATGCTAAATGAATGAAAAAAAATTCACAAGAACCCACATATAGTATGATACCTTTTATATGAAATGTCCAGAATAGGCAAATCTATAGAGAGGAAATAAGGCTGGTGGCTGCTGCTGGGGCAGTAATGAGGTTTATTTCTGGGATGACGAAAATGTTCTACAATTAGATTATTGTAATGGTTGTACAACTCTGTAAATATACTAAAAATAATTGACTTACAAACTTTAAACGGGTGAACTTTATGGATGGAATGTAATCTTTTTTTTTATTTTTTATTTTTTTTGAGACAGAGTCTTGCTCTGTCACCCAGGCTGCAGGACAGTGGTGCGATCTCGGCTCACTGCAAGCTCCGCCGCCCGGGTTCACGCCCTTCTCCTGCCTCAGCCTCCCCAGTAGCTGGATTACAGGCACCTGCCACCACGCCTGGCTAATTTTTTTGTATTTTTAGTAGAGACGGGGTTTCATGGTGTTAGCCAAGATGGTCTCGATCTCCTGACCTCGTGATCCGCCCGTCTCGGCCTCCCAAAGTGCTGGGATTACAGGCGTGAGCCACCGTGACTGGCCCGAAATGTAATCTTAACAAACCTGTTTAAAAATACAAATTAAGGCATAAAAACTGGGATGACTAGATACAGATTAAGAGTCGTTGATTTGCTGGCCGGGCGCAGTGGCTCACGCCTGTAATCTCAACACTTTGGGAGGCCGAAGCCAGCGGATCACCTGAGGTCGGCAGTTCGAGACCAGCCTGACCAACATGGAGAAACCCCGTCTCTACTAAAAATACAAAAATTAGCCGGGCGTGGTGGCACATGCCTGGAATCCCAGCTACTCAGGAGGCTGAAGCAGGAGAATCGCTTGAACCCGGAGACAGAGGTTGCAGTGAGCCGAGATTGTGCCACTGCACTCCAGCCTGGGCAGTAAGAGCGAAACTCTGCCTCACACACACACGAGTGGTTGATTTCCAGGAGAAGTTCTGAATTTAAGTAGCAATTCTTAAATTTTCATCGGGTAGACCCGATGAAAAACACAGTGCTTCAGGTTCTGTAAGAAGCCTGTGTAAAAGTTTCTCCATCCTAGCACTCTAGGAATTAGGACTATTCATTTCCTCACAGGAGACAATCAGTTCTTCCAGTCGCACTTTCTAAACTGTCTCTCAAATCCTAAATGAAGTTCACCATCTTTAGTACAAACTGATTAAGCCAAAACTTCCCTTTCCCAAATCCTCAAATCTGGTTTTAACAAGGATAAGAACCCTTCATGTCACAATTCAGGGAAATTTTAGATAATTAATACGGACACACATCTAGGGAAAATGGATGGGGGAGATAAAGAATCAGGAAGCTCGAATCTACATTTCAGGAGACTGGATATTTGAAAAACTGCACAATGATATAAACGAAGTAGAACTGCTCTGTGGAATTAAAGTCAGACTTATTACAAAAGTCATCTATGGCATACACTGTATATAAAATTTAATCATCTGCTGATTACATTTGCAGGAGTGATGTTAATTCTGACGCAGAGCCAAGGCCGAGAATTACCACCACTTATTAGGTGTGTGATCTGGAGGAAGTTATTTCTCAAAATCTCACGTTTTCTCAGTTCTAAAATGGAATTGAAAAGGTGGTTGTGTGACGGAACATATTTCATGAAAACCCTTAGCACAGTGCTTGGTGCACAGTAAGACCTCAACACTGTTCTCTATGTTACGTGAACACGAAGTGAATTTTGGTAGCTCATCACCCATAACTGATTATAAGGGCCCAGACAGAGGATAGTCTGTAACAAAAAAACAATCATCATACTTAATATAATTATTATACTTAATATTTCTAGGCAAAGTGACTAAACAGCGTTCACGAGTAGATGAAATAGATCACCCAAGTATTAAAAATAAACAGGTTCGCTACCTCTTGCCACCTTAAAGAAATCACTGTACCTCTCTGAAACGCATTTTAATCAATTCCAAAAGAAGATACAAAAGTTATGCGATCTGCTGACCAGATCCTATCAAATTGAATTCCAATTCCTGCAATAAGAATTGGTTGGGAACCGTTCCCCTCTAAAACCACTCATTCCAGACAAGCATGATTGATTTTAGCTGATTGTATAGCTTTCTTTGCATTTCATGGACAAAACCCAGAAAGTTCTCACCACTACTAAAATCTCGGGCAGCTGTTTCTTAATTTATCTTAAATAATCTTGAAAATTACCTATCAAAAGGTCTACTCCGTTTTCCTCTTAAATCACTATGTGGCTCATCTCAGCACTGCCCCCTTCCAGCCTACAATCAGCAACCCATGAGGAAAGCTGCAGTAACTGGATGCATGAACAAGTCACGGGCAATTTCTGCCAGAATGTTTAACACAGCACAGACGAGTCCAAAAGCCACGGTGATAGTCGTTTGCTTTGGTTCAGAACTGCCACTAGACAGACCTAAGATAGGCACCATGAGCATTACATAACTACAACGAACTTAAATATTGTTATTCCCATTTTACAGACAGGCTCAGGGGCTTAGGGGACCTAGGCAAGGTCACATATCCTGTAAGGGTGACGCCACGATTCAGTTTCATTGCTTTTTCGTTTTTCCCTGAGACCAAGCTCTTTCCAGTACACGGGCAGGCTCGCGCCCCTCGGGAGCGCTTGTGGGAAGCGCAACCCTCGCCCGCCCGCACCAATCCACAGGTGC